CCTCAAAGTATTCACTACCCAGAAGTGCATCAGCAAAACAGATCTCCCAATCGAAGTACGGGTTCTGCCGGTCATACACAAGCTCCACCTGTACACCTGCCGATCTGGTCACCCTTGTTCCAGCCTTACCATACCCTTGGATCCGCCACGGTGACTGCCAACGATTAACGCCGACACCTACGTACCTCGAGGAAACTTACGCAAGGCCCCGTTGCCACCTTCGCCCAACGTCCCCGTTCCTTAAAGGTCCCTGTACTGCCGATCAGGGTCCCCTAGCCTTTTTTTTCTACAAAGTCGCCCTTGCTCATCTTCGGTGGATTCAAATCAGAAAATCAAGTCAAGATCACTGCAAAAGCCTCCTCACAATTTATCATGGACGCCCAAATAGTCGAATTGAAGACCGCACTTGCTTCGTACGTTCCTAACCTCGTCTCTCCAATCTATGCTAAGTCTGCGTAGACTGTTCAACACTGGCATGTACTCTGATCTGACCATTGCGTGTGGCGCGAAAAGATACCCAGTCCATCGAGCACTCCTCGCGACACGGTCTACTTTCTTCGAAGGCGCATGTCGAAACCCTTTCCTCGAAGCGGAGACTGGTGTCATCGACCTGTCTGAAGACGATGCCGAAGCGGTTGAGCACATGGTCCACTGTAAGCATGATTGTACCTCACGCAAAAGACCAACAGCATGCTCATTGTTTCGTCAGACTTCTACCACATGGACTACCTCAATAAGACCCTATCCCGCCGTTCGTCCCAACGATTCTCGCGACCGAGTTCGCCACTATCATCACGCATCTCGAAGCGAAGCACACCCAAGAAGTTGAACCTGGCGCTTGTGGAAGATCCGCTTCTAGCGACCATGGCCGCAGCGAACACTTCGATGCCACTAACACCACCCGCTGATGAGGCGACGTACCAAAACTTCGAGTCGTCGTACAAGATTCGCACCGACGTGCCGATGGCCGACCAAGATGTGATCGATGACATTGAATGCGAGCAATCAGAGCCCGAGGCCAGCTCTCAGAAGGCACATCTCGTCACTCATGCCAAAGTGTACGCCATTGCTGAGAAGTACGTATACTTTTTCGTCACTCTTTGCTTTTCCTGTCTCAGTCTGACTACGCGCCCTGTCCGTTGGGCTCCTTCTGCGCCTACAATTTTTTTTTCTGCGCCTGGGTTGCGCTGAGCTGCGTTGCACGGCGGAAGACCTCCGACAAACCCCGCGATTTGCGTCACCGACGTGGGTAAAACCAATCACTCAGCCAGACGCACGGTGCACCACTCAGATTCCCGGGGACTCAGCTGCCTGTGCTTTCTCTGCGTCTGCGTTTTTCCTGCATGTCCAATCAGCAGCAGATCTTGTAAAGTTTTCACCTGCACCTTCGAAACAGACCGCGTCAGCGTGTCACCGCGCGTTGTCCAATCGAGCATCTTGACAGCACCACGTCCACTGAGCGTTGCATCGCTAACATTGCTATCGCAGATACGGAATTACAGGCCTGAAGGCGCTCGCACGACAGAAATTCGCCCAGGAGCTTGATCTGCACCTCGACAGCCCCGACTTTCCTGAAGCATGCCAAGAAGCGTACGAGTCCACCTTCCACACTGATCGTGGTCTGCGGGACGTGATCATCCAGGCTTTTCGCGCAAACCCAGGACTATCGCAACGCGAAGATGTCGAGATGGCGGTGAGGGAAACTCCAGGCCTTGCTTTCGAACTTTTCCGCATGGCCAGTGGCCTTCCTATTTCTTCGTGAGATCGAGCATGACCCTGGATGGAATTCTATCACCCCGTGCTACGCACGAAAGCGCCCATGGCTCCGGGCCATCTCGCTGCAGCTTTGCCCCAGCGCCGCAATGCCCAGGCTCGGTCGTCGTAAGCTATCTGCTTCGAGACGAGACCGCGATCAGTCACTGCGGCATACTGAAAGCTCAGAAAGCCATGTACGCGCTCGGTCAGATACACCTGCGAATCAACGCGGGGTTTTTGTCCTGAAACACGCGGTTCTGCGCAATGCTGCAGTCAGCAACCGACTTGCATGAGCGGTTACCAGGCACGTCAGCGACCAACGGCGAACAAGAGTCGCCAAGCTTCTCACTGCCTCGGGCCGGTCACCGAACGTTTGTGTCCCCAGCCAGTGCGTAAGGCCCGGACTTCTCCGTTGATAGTCGACATAGGCGATGGCATCTTGACGCAGTATTTTGTGGGAATGTGAGGCGGGCTCCGTGGGGTTGCGATGGTTCTTCGAGTTTCACTTCTTTAGATCTTTTTGGGTGTGACTTGAAACACACAATTTAGCATTCGAATATCTCACCATTACATTCCCATGCCTGAGTGTTTGCTTTGTCGTTCACATTTGATAATACATGGATTACTTTGACTAGTGATCGTTCCTTCTCGTTGTATATTATCTGAGCCAGTGCCCTTCCCATGAGTCCCATCGTGACTCCCCTTCTCGCAAATGTCGCCCTCTTTCTTCCTATCACGACACTCACTCTTCTTCTTTTCCGTCGTCTTCGTCACACAAGCCTCTGAACGTCGCAGCTCATTGGCTTCGGCAGAAACAACAACTGAATCGATGGTTTGAAGCAGGATGATGACGGCGTACTTGATCAGCGACTCTGGTGTGAAGGGGGACGCGTCTTCACTGGCGGATAGAAACCCCGCTCGTATGTAATCCCACCGTGTCTCTGATGTTCCGCAAATCTCAAGTGCCTTCGCCAACGAGCTTGTGCAGTTTTCAATACCTCTGTAGTGATTTCCCTTCTGTCCAGTCATGCATAGCTTTCTACGCAGCGCGCGATATGCTTTTACGCAGCACTTCGACGAATATGTCAGTGTCCAACGATCAGTTGTGCGGAAAATATCGGCCTTCTGGATGTGCGAAAGTTTCTGAGCTAGGTGAAGGTGAAAATGAAATCAAGCTACGCGCACGAACGGCTTGGCGCTTCCTTTATTCTACAACCTTGCTCAAGTGCTGTCGCTCCAGCGACACCCACATTCTATGCCGGACTTTTCGACCATGGACCCCAAATCGCCCGCGCGAGTTCCCGCACAACTGCTCATGAGCCTGCCCGACGAACTTCTGCTGGAGGTCGCGTTCTGTCTGCCTACGATGGATCTCTTGCGACTGTCACTTACGGCGAAACATCTGGGGTTGATTGCGCAGGAGGCGCTGCATCGCTTGATCCAAATACCCTACGAGGCTTATTGGAGATTCAACAAGCCTGAATTGAAGTCTCGCATCGCGTTCCTCGCTTTGACATTAGTCAAACGTCCGGATCTTGCCCAAAAGGTCAGAGCACTGGAATTGCAACCGCATATCAAGGACACGAAAATCGACCCGCACTTACTAAATCCAATAGGCGAGGCAGCCCCGCTGGGTTTTGAACATCTCAGTGTTCGCATGAAGGGGACAGAGATTGCGAGATACATGCTGCGACGTCTAAGCAATCTTCAGGAGTTGTGTCTGGCCATCAGAGATGGAACCATCTCGAATGCTTGCCTCCCAGAATCACTTGACGGCCATGCCATGAAGCATTTGTTTGGCCGCGACTATACAAGTACAGAGTTGATGGAGATTCCCGGTCTGCGCAACCTGAAAACCTTGCAAATCCATAGCAGCACACTCGAGTGGCCGTGTTGTAGCCTCCCGGACCTCACGTGTCTGTAGGTTAGTCACTATTGCCAGCTGCCGACCGCATCAGAATATCCAGAAGAGTTGTGCCAGATCAAAGCGCTGGATATTGTACGCAGCACCACCATATTGGACGAGACTATCGCCCCCGAGCACACAAACTTGGTAGCTTTCCTCCGAAGGATGCCACATCTGACGAACCTGGTAATATGGCTTGTCAACATGATCTACGACAACGACGAGGGAGAGCTAAGCCCCTTCCTGAACCCCAACCAGCCGGGCTATTTCGACTCTCTCATCGAACACATTCTCCCCTTCAGAATTGTCATAAAAGTCTTGAGATACGCCATCATAGCTCTGAATACCCCGATTTCTTGGACCACGTCTCACCTACCACTGCGCTCGCTCAATTCGTCAGTCTGGAGGTATTGCAAGTTGATTACGAAGTCCTCCTAACCTCACCTGACACTACGCAGCCATCGAGTTGCAACATTCTTCCGCCGAATTTGGAAGTCCTAAAGATACACCATGCATGCGGGAAGACTATCGACCTCTTGCATGACATACTTACAAACACATCGCGCTTTCCGAGGCTGGAATTGATCCAGCTATTTCCCCGCAATTATCGCGGGAACAACTACGAGTTCTTTTGGTACAAGTTCAGCGAAGTTTATGAAAGCTTAGAAGATGCAGGAAGTTGGGTTTGCATCTTCTATCGCAACGAAGACTATTGTGAGGATTGTAACTACGACCCTTTCATTGGCGAAATCGTGGAGTTTGTGGAAGGCTTGACGACAGGCGGATGAATCACCAAACCTGCTTCGAAACGTATCGTGTGATCAGGCTGGCCGGGGAAAGGAGTGGAACGGGGAATGGTGTTTCCGAAGCCAATGCGGTGGTCCGCTCAGCCGTTCAGCAGGCAGACAAAGAATATTCAAAGTCTTTCAATTTCATACGTCTGCATCGAGCAAATGTCAAATAACCTTAATTTTTTTTCAAGTGCACCTCGTTGTGCTTCTGTGCCATTCCAAACATCGAGACTACAAGTGTTCCAGAAAACATGCATAGGGCTGCAACAAGCTTGGATATAGGCAAAACCCTTCTCCTGATGTTGATGTCATTGAAGAGTGCCTCTAACGTCGCACATCGCTGCGAGCCATACATTGCTATAATTCTAGATGTTTTCGAGACGTTGAAGTTGCCATACCAGCTGAAAAGCGGGGTCCAATCCCGCGTACCACTCATATAAGCGGGTCAGGCCGGCCCTAGGTCCACAATTTCCCAGCGTTGCAAAAAACCTACCACACAACGTTGTGGCGTTCTCGCGATGCCAACAAAAAGAATCAAGATATAACGATGACCCTATTGCGACTCGAACGCAAAACCTTCAGGAATTTCCGGCGGAGGGTACTGGAATCTGACGCGCTACCATTGCGCCATAAGGCCAGTCGATTTGGCCAACTTGGAATTTTAGCTTGGAAATATAGTACATTCAATAAAGCCAGCCTCCTGCCACTGCCGCGGTGATAGCTTTTGGTCGGGTAAAAGCGCGCCAAATGGTTCGTGAAGAAACTCGGATAAAGTGGCGCCTCACAATATGACACATTTGATCGTTGGTGGGGAGGAGACAGGGGGAGGGGAATCGCTTCCTCGGCGGAGTCTGGGGCGCTAAGAGTCCACGAGGCTGTAACGCTTAGCGCCCGCATGAAACCCACCACTACGCGACACACCCTGACAAGTCAACAGCCATAGTCCAACTCTTCTCCGACCCATAAAGTCACCGGTGACATTCGGCTTACACGCTACTTCGATCCTCGCTGGACACCTACGTGATCAGTAGAAATATGAGCTATTTCTGGCCAAACCGTTCCAGCTCCGAGGCGGTCCTTAGGCTAGTCTACGCGATGATACTTTTAGGGCCAAGGTCTAACTCATCTTAGGGCTTACAAGAAAGGCGAGTTCACCGACCTCACAATCACATGCGGCACCCTCATTTTTAATGTCCACCGCCTCGTCGTGTGCACATCATGCGACTTCTTCAAGCGAAGCCTAAAGTTCGCAGTCGGCAAGGAAGCTGAAGAACTACACATTAATCTACCGGAAGATGATCCGGAGATGATTCGACGTTTGATTGCCTACCTCTATCTGGGAGACTATGATCCTACCAGCGGCTCATCAACCGACGTTCTCAAGTTCTCTAGTCTCTACCAGCACGAGTCTTCCACGGATTCAGCCACGACACACCACTCGCGCTACCGCAAAGAGACGTCAGCTTTCCAAACACAAGACAATTGCGCTTGCCTGTCGCCAAATTCCAAGAATGTAACACAGCCCATGGCGGAAGTTCAAACCGCGAGCGCACCAAGCGACTACAAAGTCGTCGCGAAGCCAGACAACATGATCGAGGTAGTCAATCCCCTGACAATTCATGTAGCCATGTATGCGTTAGGCGACAAGTACCAGGTAGAAGGCTTGTGCAACACCGCTAAAGAGAAATTCCGGTCTTGTCTCCATCACCACGCGCATTCTGAGGACTTCATCGCAGCTACACAAGCCATATACAGCACCACACCCGATTCAAATCGCGGGCTGAGAGATGTTGTTGTATCAGCCTTTCGATCGCAGTTCCGCGTGGATATCACACAAATCCCGGGTGTGGAAGAGAAACTGGACACGATCGATGAGCTCTCGTTTGCACTGATCAAGTCGTGGCCGACCAAGACAGAGCCTACAAAGTCAACACCGTCTGCGCAGGCGAGCTCGAGTGATGCACCGTTTAAGGGATTGTTTCTTGGCCGTGCAACGCAGTCGCCAAACACGTCTTCCAGAACCGGAGCTACCACATTGTTCGGTAGCTCCACTGCAACAGCCAACCCTCCTACTTTGACGTCAAACCCCAATGGCTTTGGAACAAGCATAGATGGAGCAAATGTACGTCCTCTCTTCGGTACCCCGAGGACTACACCGGCAACGACGAACTTGTTCGGTGCCACATCCCGACCCTAAACAATGCGAACAGCATGAAGGTTTGCATGAATCTATGTAGCTATCTCAATACGAAATCTTAAACGGTATCGGACTGCACTGCGACATGATGTTTCACGATCTGGCAAATAAGGTTGGTGGCGCATGTCTTCATCGGCCCGTCCCACGTTACACACGAGCCATCGCGCATTCCTGCGCCAGCCTTCCACCTTCCTCCGCCTGTTCCGCAACCGTTATCAAACTATACATATGAAAGCGCCTGCCATGGAGCCGCAAACAACCTTCTTGCCTCCTGCAAGCGCAGAAACATGCGCGATCGTGCTTGGTCAAAACGCAGTCATGAAATTTCCATCTCGTGTCAGCACAGCCTACTTCGAGGATCATCCTGCCACTGTTACTTGGTTGCCTGAAGACTCAGATACATTCGATTGATTCATATACAATACGCCCATCTTCTTTCAGCGCTTCTCGGATTCATAGTGTCAATTAATACAGCATCATGTCCGCGTCTTGTTCCAACAGCGACGTACCATTACCGCATGCCGCGCTTCTGGCTTTCTTCCAACGGCCCGCGCCATCGCTAGGAAAGGACAACGAAGCCGCTCCTCCGCCATACGACCCACCTAAAAGTCATGCCGACATCTCAAGTCAACATATCAGCGAAGGTATCGACGATGGAGACGATGAGGAGTCAACCTATGGCTTCTGGGGCGAACACACCAACTGTACCCTGAAACCCATGCGCACATCCACATCTCACTTCAACCCCTTGACCCCACGGCGCTACAAAGGCGCTTGGGCATTCTGTTGTTTCTGGTGCGCCATATCAGTCTGCATCCTCGCTGCTTTCGGGGCATTCTTCGTTGCCGATCTGGTCTTCACGCAATTCGGCATGGGTACTGGAATGGCGAGGTGGATGATTCATGGACAAGGCCGCAGGGCTGAGCAGAGCTACGATGTAAGCCACATGCACATGTTTGTCGCGAAATACTAATTTGTGGGGGTTTGCAGATGCATTTTTGTCTCGCGTCGCCGAATCGACAAGCGCCTGGGCCAAAAGGCTGGCGGCATATTGCTGCGGATCTCGTTACGGAGTGCGATACTGAGGTATTGACTTTGGAGGCTGCATCGAATGAGATGTGGAAGATTCTATTGGATGACTTGGTGGAGTTTGAGGATGATGTGCCAATAGTGTCGGGGTACGATGGAGCGAGCAGTGTGGATGAGAAGACTCTTCTGGCAGAGCTTGGTGACGATCTCTTGGGGGAGGGAGACGCAGTACTCCAAAAGGAAAGCTATGTTAGTTAAGATAAGTGCTGAATGAACTGGCGTGGTGGACGGGTACTCTGAGATTCTTCTAGCCAAAATGCATTTTCTTTAGTTAAATTGTGCTTTTCAATGCTACTGGCCTTCGAGGCGGCTTGAAGTATTGATCTGATGAGCCGAATCATGCTGTAGATGTGCGAAGACGCCATGCGACAAATGCGCAAGAAGCAAAGATTTGTGTTGGCTTGCCTGAGTACAGCCTTTACATATCTTGCCTGAGTCCATGGCCATTACAGATCCACCCTTCCCAACCGCTTCTGGGAAGATCAGATACTCCCCCAAATTCGCGGACACACCGACTAGCTTTATCTCAAGTCCGCAGAGTTCCTAAATACCTCAACGCCTCCGACGAGTATTTGTCGACATCTGATATGGGTAGCCCCAGTAGCGCCTCTCGTAGGTTGTGTAACCACCGAAGAAATGAGCATGCAAAAAGTTCTCGAAAGCGTTGTTGGCTCTAGGGCAGGACTCAAGCATCTCACGCCACTCGTGCAAGTCCTCGATAGATTGACATGAATTGACGACGTGACTGAAGATGTGGAAGAGTATTTCACAGGGCAGAAATAGCCAGTGCCGACGCGTTGTGACCATGAATTCATCTACATCAGATCTCGGCGTACAATTTATTTCGGCACGACAATAGTCCATGCTGACTTGGAACCGAGAATATCGAGGCATGTTCCGGAGAACGGCGCGCATGTGAAGCATTTCTCTAAACATTCGTGATGTAAAGAACGTGCGGATCGAGTTGTCGGGGAGGTTGGGCCAGCCCATAGGCTTCATCGTAAAGGCACCAATGGTGGATGCAAATCTTGATTTTCTGGTTTCTAACGAGCGAGTGCTTCTGCTCGTGGCTCCTGAAAGTAGGATTTGGATATGTTTCGTGTCGGCGAGATTGGACAGATGGACTGGGGCTAAGGTAGAGCCCATGTGGAGCGGCCACTCTGCTAAGAGTACATTGATGCGTTTGTTGTGAACTTTGACCCATTCGTGCTCGAACTCATACATAATGGCTCCCGATAAGAGGAAAAAGTCGTGCAAGTGCCAGAATTTAGCTTCATGGTCGGGCCTATTCGCACTTGAATATATGATGCACTGATAGATGGAGATGCGGATCTCAGGTGGCAGCGCGCTGAATGAAGGGCACTTTTGCGAGGAGGTCTGTTTGACTGATGTCGAAGATGCCATGTCGGGTAGCCCGCCTGCGCTCGCATGCGCTCGCATGCGCTGAGTCGGTTGTCTTGATTACTGTCGTTGATGTCATGCTACTTCGCGCGACTGCAATGGGAGTTAGTCATTCTGGGTAGCGTTACACTAAACTGGAATACCATGACAGAGGTGCAGGAGATCCGGTAGAGACCTGCCCTGGGCGGACTCACCTTGACTTAGTCAAAGGTGCAAGTTGTTAAATTAGAGAAGGTGACACTTGGTGACGGAAAGTACGGCTTTTGGGGCTTTTGGGGCTTTTGGGGCTTTTGGGGCTTGGTGGCGCCAAAGCTAAAGCGTGCGGTCCGTACTCACCCAGGTGACTCAGGTGAAGGAAAGGCATTCTGGCGTTGACTCTTTAGAGCAACATCACCAACATGTATTATTATGCCCTTGCTTCTTGCAATCTCACGAGGTAAAGGAGGTCATTCGCGGCTACAAACAGGTGTAGGGATAGTGATGGGATGCCGATACCTTTCGTGGTGAGGCGGATGGAAGGTCTTCTGCTGTGTGTAATCGGAGAATTTGCTCAGATATGGCAGAAGGAAGCTCCCATCTGTCAACACAATAAGCATTGCGTAGCTTATCGCGACCAATCCAAACCTTACAGTCCACTTTCCGAAGGCTCATTGCTACAGTTCCATAGCTTCATCAGCAACGTTAACAGCGCAGGAGACTCATACACCTTTTCAACGTCTGAATCCCTTGAGCCATTGCAGCAATATTCCCCATAGGTTCAACCAAGGCGAACGCCCAGGCGCTTCCCGCTGAGAACCGCCCCACGTCTACATCCACATCCTCCAGAGCCTGCAGCTAAAGGGAGCGGCTGACGATCTGAAGACCCACCGAGGCCTCATGCTTTCATGCAAGCAGCTGTATCGAGAGTTCGAAAAGAAGTGGGCAAAAATGTTGAATTGGTATCTGGCCGA